AAAAATGCAATTATTTTAAAGGAGTGCTGGAACTGTAATCCTGACAACATAACTGCAATACAGCATCAAATATTGATATCACCATCAAGGGAGGAAAACATAACCTGGAGCCATAAACCTTGCAAACTCTCAAGAATGAGAATGAAGTATTCCAGGGACGTTGGATTATGAAATTTTGGAACTTGAAGATCTCAAGGATACACCAATACAGCTTGTTTTATTAACTCTTGTGAATCAGTATTTTCTCTCTAGTTGGATAGAATGTGAACATTATTTGGCATTTCCCACAGCACAATGTTGAACTCACAGTTGGAACTTAATCAGTACATGGGAATTGATATTTGATGAAAAATAACCCTAAGGAGAGAAGTCACAGCAAATTTTATGGAAAGATGGCTAAGCCATTCGCATGTTTGGTTTAGACTGAGCCTTTCCTCAACAAGTCCAGCACTTAAGAGGATGTGGTGAGCACTTCAACCACTCCGTGACTTGGATATCTTGTGTTTCATCAACTTCAAGGCCATTTCCTTTGGTTCCAAATGGGATAAACAGCTGTCTACAGGGCACTGGGCTCAATCTCCAAATACCCAAACTCATACTCAATAAGGATCTTGAAAGTAAAAGTCAGAACTTCATGCAAAATTCCCTATTCAGACAGCAACATTTCTGTAAGAGGGGAAAAAGCTGAGTGGGGCCTTTTATACTTCCTGGGCAGGGTGTACCTACAATTTGGCAGCTAGACAAGATACAGACAAAGAATACGGGTCTCTGTCCAAAACCCTTTCTTTGTGAGATGTTAACGTTACCAAAATCATTTACGAGGTGAGTGGTTTCAATCTGTTAATCTACAACTCGAAGTCACATTAACGTGTCACACACATTTCTCATTTACGTCTTTATTGCACCCTAGCTCCACAGCTTCTCCTCACTGCACTAAATGAAACAGGAGAACTTTCTTTTATCTGCTAAATCAATCTACCAGTTCTGTTCTTCTCCAGGCTCTCTCTCCATCCGATCTCTGATACCATTTAGTCATTTTCACTCATTCATTCCGTTACCTCAAAATCATCATAACTCAAGACAAAGCGGTCTCTGTGAGTCTGGCGCTCGCCTCCACCCAACTGCCGGTGCCCTGCACCCTGCCCCTTGGCCCCTCCCCCAACTGAAACCAACCTGGCGAACTGTCTGTTAATCTCAACAGCATTGTCCCTATGGCAGTAACCTCGGCTACAGTAATGACAATTGATTTTGGACATCTGACGAGGGAAAGGAGATGGCGGCAACAAATTGGGCTATATTAATCCATCTCACTAAAGCCAGATGATTCTGTCTTGACTATATCTCCCAATTCATTCTGTCTGTCCCCCTGTCTATGAAAATAAAGGGATCTGTATGTAGTCCCTAAGCAAGATCCTCTTTGCCTTCACCCTTCATAAAGGGGCTATATTCTTGGAGAGAGACCACAGGCTTTAAGGGACATGAGAAAGTTTAATAGCATCAAAACACTGTTCTTTCTTTAAATTAAAAACAATTACCATGCTACAACACGGAGGAACCTAGGAAACATCACGCTAAGTGGTAGATGCCAGACACAGAGGCAGTCCACTGTTTGATCCCATTTATGTGGTGTGTCCAGAACAGGCAAGTCCATAGAGAGAGACGGCAGATGAGCGAGCGGTACCAGGGCAGAAGGAGGAGGTGGGAGTGAGGAGTGACTGCCTCATGGAGACAGAGTTCTTTCTGCAGCAGTGAAGACGCACTAAGTAACAGTAGCAGAGCAACCCTGTGAATATATTGAAACCCGCTGAATTGTACACTTTACCAAGGGTGGATTTCATGGTATCTGAGTTAGAATTCAAAAAAGCTGTTGTTACAAAAGACATTATCTGATTTCAGGGAACTCTGGCTCCAACTACCTGCTCACGATTCTGAGTGACACACTTAAGACTCTTGGCCTCTGAGACCTTCGTCCTAGAATGCCCTGGTCCTCCTCTCCTCTCTTGTATCTTCCCTGCCCAAATCCAACTCTTATTTTTAGAGAAGCTGCTCATTGTTTAAAACTAACTGGAATATTTTTTCCCCTTCCCTGTGAAGCTTTCCTTGACATCCCTGCTCTCCCAGGCAGGAGCAACTGCTCTCTCAGCACCGAATATATAAACAACTAAAACATTTTTCATGATGCTAGAGTTCACTATTTATGTCTCTGCTTCTCACACCAGATTCTGAGCTCATCTCACTTCTGTGTTCAGTTACTAGCACAGTGCCTCGCTACCAAGTTTTCAAAAAATGTTCAGTAAGGGTTTTGTTTTATTTTTTTTAAAAAACAGTATTTGTATAAATACATATATTTTTATAAACAATGTATAAAATGATACTGTCACATATAGTTATCCAGTTGAATCTTTTGCAATTCCAGTGCTGACAGATAAAACCAGTTAGCCCAAAATGAGAATTAATTAGGCATTACTGACTGCATTGCTAAAATAAACTGGGACCTTTCTATTATATGGAACACAGAAATTTGCATTTTTATTACTGAACATCTGTAAATGCACTGGGAATCAACTATGTAAATCAAAACACTATCTTTAACAGATATGTGAATATTTTTTGATATTCATATTTATTTATTTACACACACTTTTTCAGAGTGAAGTAAAATAATGTAGGTAAGATATTGATTTTTGTTGCTATGAGATCTGCTGGTGAGCACTACCTTAACACATAGTCTTATTTAGGGCTTTTTAAGAAAAAGAATAATCCTTTCCTAAGATAGGGGTTGCAAATTCCAGTGCTACTAAGGGTCATCAACTGGAGGGCATCATTTGAATGAGTACGTCACGTAAGGAGTATCTCCGGGCAGGAAACAGCAGTGCGTGTCTCCAGGAAGGGAGCTGGGGGGTAAGGCACGGGGGTAGAAGGGAGGTTTCCTTCCCACACAGAATATTTTTATGCCTTTAAAGTTTTGTATCAAGTGTATTCTTTAAAATTTAAAAGCAAATTCTATAAAATTTGCTTCTTAGGTCCAGCTAACCATCACTATTAAGGAACACAGGCCTGGCGTTGCTAAATCTGATTTTTCATAGAAGTTGGAAATGGGAAAACTCATATTTTTATGTAAAACTCATAATTTTTAAACATTGGCTTTATTCAGAATTTAACACGTAGGGTAGGCCAAACAAAACACACCTGTGAGCTGTATCTGCCTCACAGACTAACCAGTTTACCATCTCTAATCTAAAATTTGATGTGTGGCTTATGAGTCCAACACTATAAATGTAATTTAATAGAGGTAAACTTTAAAAAGATGACTCCGACTTGGGGAGGAAATCATCCCCCCTGCTGGCCTCCCATCCAAACACTAGTGTTCTCTTAAACTCCCCCTTCCCCTTCTGTATCTTCGAAAAGGCTGCTAATGTTTGACCAACTAAAATGCAAAACGAGCCAGGTTTAATCAAGGCATCTGCCCAGTGTCCTAGCATCCGCTCTGCTATAAAGAGTGAAACATGGGGTCAACTTCAAGCTGCAGTTCTTCCAGGCAGCTACAGAGGAGCATGCGAATTACTCCTGCTGGGTGGAAAACTCCCCCAGCCAACGAGCCAAATGCTTGCGTGGACGAGAAGACCTGCCAGTTATTCCTCCCTCTCCATCAGTGCTGCTCAAAAGGCAAAATGTCAGCCGTGAGCAACATAATGCTCTGAACCTTGTTAACTGGGAAGCCAACCACAGCGCCGAGGAAAATCTCAAAGTCTCTTAAGTCCTTCAGAGATGCCATTCACCTTCCGCAAATGAAGCTGAGAGGCTCTGTGTGGGCCTCCCTCTTGGTCGTAAGTGAAGACTGCATCTGCTCAAAGCCCAGGCGACACCAAAGCGAGTTAAAGAAAAGCCAGTTCAGGTCTAAGTCCAGCACTAGAGGCACTACCGTTCCTCTGTGCCGGGCCTACAAAGCTTACCCTGATCTGCCGAAAGCTTCAAAAGATTTGATCCTGGTGTTTCTACATGGCTTTTCTATATTCAGGCTAGTTCGATCTTCCAGACAGCAGCCTTTTCACCACCAGTTAGTCCAGCACTGGGCTTGACCATCACTCACTGACCACTGGGGCCTCCCCCAGTGCTGAGGATGCGCAACCCCAGGCGGTGACCAATGAACAGGACTGTGGGAGTAACGGTAACTTTGCAAGCGCTCCACTCCTGCAGGACACAGGCCTCCAGGTCTTCCTCATGTAGTTTGTGGAAACGCGGTGACAGACCGCTTCTCCCTAAGAGCTTCTTCACCCTGGTAACTGGTGGGGGAGTGGGGATGGGGGCGGTGGGGATTTTGATTTAATCTCATTCATCCATTCTGAGGAACTGTCTGTTTTGCCAAGTGACCTGATAGTGCCACACATATCCAGCATACCCTCGTGTAAGGACAGCGAGCATTTGGAAAAACAAAATGATAATGAATTGTGCAAATACCGGTCTTAAAAAAAAAACAAAACCACAATTGTAGTGACCCAGAAAGTTAAGATCTGCAAAATACTCTATTTGACAAGCAAAACAACTCTCTTAGGTTGTATGAGGAAGCCATTTCACGGTGGGGTTCCGTGGCCTAAGAAGACTGATTCAATTGTGAAATAAAAGCCAGGCACATTCTCTCTGAGGAACACAGCTGGAGTCCAGTGGCTCCCTGACTTGCATTTTGACGTATGGACCCCACAGCCAACTCTGCAACAGCTATAGGCACGCTGTTCTTTAGGTAGGGCCAGCAGTGCCTGGAAATCAATAACCTGTACTTTCTCTATCAGCAATTTTGTGCATTTGGCACCTGCCATCCAACAACCTGCACGCGTCAGCATCCAGCAACTGCAGAAGGTTCCTCTTCTGACCACTGGCATGTTTAGTGACACATGTTCTCAAGAAAAAAATCATAACTGCTTCCTCCCTTTTCCGTACATCTGAATATCAAACAGGTTTCAAACACATCAGTCTTCTGTATAAAAAGCTTGCTTTAGTCTTACCTCAGCAGCTTGGGTCTCTTGATGCAGCAACGTAAGACCGGTCAAGTCCTCTAAGAAGGAATGTGAAGAATTAAACACCTTCGCTAGGAAATTAAATCCTTCTCGCTCATATTGATCAAGGACCTGTAAAACATTTATATATATATTTTAAGGAGGCAGTAGGTTTTAAATGTATATTAAAAATTTCACTTCTAATAATCACCTGTCAAAAATAGAACTAAAACTAGAATTAAAAATTAAATACGGGAGTGGAGGGTATAGCTAAATTGGTAGAGTGCATGCTTAGCATACACAAGGTCCTGGGTTCAATTCCCAGCACCTCCTCTAAAAATAAAATAAACCTAATACACCACTCCTCTAGCAAAAGTAAATAAATATGGGAAAATCAATCTGGTAGGCACAAAACCAGCAGGGCTTAGTATATAATCATTTTCTCTTTCTTAGAAAGAATGGTAGTATTTCTCAAAGTAAGTTATATTCAAATGCACTAAAAATTCTAGAAGAGTTGAGGTTACTGATTCTAAAGTTCACCTTTCAGGAAGAAAATAATAGACAAGAGAAGGACCAAGAGGAAAATTTTAAGAGGGAAAGAGAAAGAAGGGGACAAAAGGATGGGAGATGGGACCTACCAGCTAGTCAAATGCATTAAAACTTTTTTAAAATGTAAAAATGAATTTCACCAAGCATATCACAAAAGAGGTTTCTTAAATAGTCAATAAACATACGAAAAGTTGCTCAACATTACAAGTGATCAGGGAAACAAAAATTACAACCACTGTGAATGGCTAAAACAGAAAAGACAGAAAACACCAAGTATTAGCAAGGATGTGGAACCACCAGTATCCTCACAGGAATGCAAAATAAGAGATCCACTTTAGAGGTTTGACACTTCTATGCCATGTTATCAAGAAATTCTACTCCCAGATACACACCCCTAACAAAAAATGTATACTTATGTGCATCAGAAGACCTGAGCAAAAGTGTCCAGGGCAGCACTATTCATGACAGCCCCAAACCAGAAGCCATTTCAGTGTCCATCAACAGTAGAATGAATTAACAAACTGTGGTTTATTCATGCAATGAAATATGTACAGAAATGAAAACAAACAACTACACGTAACAATATAAATAATTATCACAAACAAAATTTTAAACAAAAGAAGGGAGAAGCATTATGCACTATAGGATTACAATTACATAAAGTACAAAAACAAACAGACAAAATGTATCTATAGCGTGAGACATCAGGGGTTATCCATGAAAGGACTGTAACTGGAAGGGGGCACAAGGGAGGTCCTGGGGTGCTGGTCATACGTGTTCCTTTATGTGGGTTCTGGTTACAAAAGTATACCTTGTGAGAAACTGTCAAGCGCTGTTTCATATATACATTGGCCTTCAATAAAAAGATCAAAAGATAAAGAAGCCTTTTAAGGAGAACAGTATAAGAACAGACGTGTACTTAGAAACAAGCAATTACCACATTTAGGAATTAAATGATCATAGCAACCGTGAATTGTAGAAAGCAAACAGTGAACCAGAATGCCTCGGAAAGTCTCTCAAAACTCAGAAGAGAGAGATGAATGTTTCAGAAGGATAGCAGACGTTGAAGATTAGTCCCTGAAATCAATTACACAGGAACAGCAAGGTTGGAGAAGAAACGACACAAGAAATAGAAAAATAATTTTTTAATTTTCTCCCTTCAGAAATGAAAATGTATAAACTCCTCAACCCAGCAATTCCACTTCAAAGACTACTTTTCGAAGACTTTTTGTCACTGTTGAGGGTTGGTGAATTGTGATTTTCCTTTTTCTGCCCAATATTCTTCAATATTCAGCTATTGTTTAGTTTACAAAGTGAACATTTTAGAGAAAGGCTGACGATGAGAATGCGGCGTCTTAAGCAGTAAGCCCACACCACCCCTCTTACACCAGCTTGCACGAGGGCAAAGACTAGTGTGTATGGATGCTCACTCTGCAGCACTGTTTGAAGCAGCAAAAGATTAGGAGTAACTAACACTTAAAGAGGATGGTTAACTAAATTGTGGTATATTTACAATCAAGGACATAATCTGGATCCATTAAAAGAATAAAGCAATTCCACAGTACTCATATAAACTGATTTCCAAGACAGAAATATATTAAAAAGCAATGTCCAGACCATGTGTCAAGTATTAATGTTTTTAAAATAAAGGTGAGAGAGGAGAGGTAGAGAGGGAAATGTACATGTGGACCGGCTCGTTTTGAACGCAGCGTCTCTGGAAGGGGACACACACACACATGACATCAAGTAGTTGCCTCTATACACTCTTTAATACTACTTGAATTTTTAAAACCATGTGCACGTATTACTTATTCCAATAATATTAAAATCCCAATTTAGTTTTTAGTTTTTTCTTCAGCACTGGAGAAAGGTCTCAGAAGAAGAGGAAGAGGAACTCTGAAGTCCTGGTGAAGAAGTTGCAGCTAGAAAGGAGGGGCAGGTGGCTCTGCCCCAGGTGCAGAACGTGCAGAGCTGGGACGAGTGGTTAAGTTAGGGGCATGGGGAACCGCGGGCTGAGGCGCTCAGCTGAACAGCGGCGGCAAGGTCACCTGCTGCCACAGAAGGCGATGGGGTGGGCTGCAGGACTTGGCGGGGGTAGTGATGGTCTGGGGCAGCTGGGTGGGGAATGTGAGAAAGGAAGCTGATCAGTGGCACATGACGAGTGCCAAGCCATCAAAAGCCCGTTCAGAGCAGAAAAAATATGCTGAGGGAGAAAGGTAAAGTTAACGACCCATCTTTGGGGACTGGCAGGACAGGGTCAAAGAATTTGAGGGGCTACTGAGCACCAATGAAGGGACCGGAGGCTGGTGAGCAAAGACCTGCAGGCTGGAGGGACAGGTAGACAGGGAGCCCCAGACAGCTGGAGGAGCAGGGGGGAACTGTTTTGCCTCAAGGCATTAACGAAGTACAGTCTTTGGCTGATTAGCCAGAGTTAATTAATTTGACAACCCACCGCCTGGAAAAAAGGGCACTTAATAATTCAATCCCTCAGTAATTACAAGATTCCTTACAAATCAGAATGTTATCTCAGGAAAAATGTACATAGAAATTAAGTGATCTTTTTCAAAATGCTAAATACTATGTGTTTAGTGATCACTTATTTCTGAGTGACCTATTCAACTCATTAAACAGCTACTTTGTGCCAGGTTTACAGTAAGGTTAAAAAAAAATAAACAACACATGGGAGTGAAAAATGGACAAGAACTTTGAAAAAAAAATTTGGAATGACTCCAGAGATGACTCTTTGTTGGACCTTAATTAAACTTTCAGACTGCAAGCCTATGTTTGCACAGATAATTCTGTAGTGCTGCAAATCTGGACGGTGGAAAAACAGCAAGGGCAGAGTGAGAAAGGCCTCCCCCATCAACAGGATGCACAGAAAGTTTAATGCTGAAACATTATTAATAGCTCTGGCTTGAAAACTATGTGGAAAAATTTAATCCTCTGGGGCATATTTAATCATGCCCAAGTTTTCCAGTATTCCCTTTATGTGCTGGGAAGTTAATCTGTGTTAGAAGTATAAGCAGCTTATAAAAACTAGGGGGATTTTTTTTCCCCTCTACAAACAGCTTAAACTTCTTAGAGGGGAAAAATGTGTTTTAAATTATCCAAAAAAAAAAAAAGATACTATCACAATGACTTTGAGCACTGCAACAACCTGTCATAAAACATAAAACATGTAACACCTCTTAAGCAAATTATGTAATATGCGGCTCTGTACACATTACATGTCGGAAGGTTTTAAGTACTGTAGAGAAATAATAATGACTCTTCTAGTATAAAGACGTGGATCCTTCCCTGATGGACACAGTTGTCCTATTTCGTAAGGCTGGGTTATCTTTATTCATGGCACACATGAGCACATATCCGTGGACAAAAATGTTAGAATCTCCTCTTAAAACACGATTTTGGGAGTGTCACTTCTCTTGCTGAGACTCTTTGGTGGCTCATTACTAGACCAAACCCTTACTCTCCAGCTAGGTATTTGAGCCCCTCCAGAATCCTCCAATTTTTGGATGGCTCTCTGGAGAATGCCTTTCGCAGAGTCTAAGATCTCCTGATGACACCATGCAATGATTTTCATTTCATGAGAAGCAGGAGGTATTCATGGTTTGCAACTCTCATCTATTAATCTTAAACAAGGACACCAGAAACTGTGTACCCCACCTAAAAAAAAATAGCTTATATATTTTCAAAAGGGGAAGGAAACATGCAGTGTCTCAAAACTCTTAAAGTTTTTGTTGTTTAGAAATTGTACTTAGTTGCTCTTGATGATTTAAAAATAAACATGGGTTGTGATTTCTAAAAAACATAGGAAAAGCTTGCCCAATGTCCCAGATAGCATAATAGAAGAGTATGGCTGGAAGCCACCAGGACCTTAGTTCCTGTCATATGAGAATCTGTAAGAGTCAAAACACTCCCCTCTGAGGGACAGTCACCCAGTCGTCCACAGAGACTTTGCTTCAAGTTGAGGGCAAACCCTTCTGTTTTCCAGTACTTTTGCTGAGGGAGCCATTCCAGGGCAGAGAAGCCCCACTTTGGATAATGAGCTGAAAGCACTGCTAATAAAACCAGGAAGCCCCTTGATCAGTTTCTGCCTCTTGGTGCCCTGGGATTTCTCTCATCACAATAAAAAGGAACCAAAGAAGAGGGGGAAAAAACCCACCAACCTCAGCAGCCCTTTCAACACGACTGTCCCACAGTCACTACTCCCAGCTCCCCAGGACCATCACCTTGGGAAAGCTTCAGTTCCTTTCTCATTCCCTCTTGGTGCTGCCCTATCTAGAATGATCTCCTGTCTTCCCCATCAAATGAGATCCTGTACTTCCATCAAAACTAAGCTCAAGTATCAACTCCTGCAAGAAGTCTTCCCGGATTAATTCCACCTCCTATGATCTTTTCTTCCCTTTTATAGTCTCTGACCCCACTTTCCATGGCACATCGAGTTACCAGACAGATTGAAGGAAATGCTCTGCCTCACTATCCCTGGTAATCAGGAATGGATGGCATTTTCAAATATCAACCAGATGTTCAATAACTTTGTTCCTGTTTCCATGTATGTCAGTGATATAAAGCAGGTAATG